GTTTGGCAGAATATCATCACTCGGTTTGGCATACCAAAAGCCCTAATCTCAGACAATGGCACTCAGTTCGACGGCAGAATCTTCAGAAACTTTTGTGAAGAGTACAAGATAGAATTCTACAATTCTACACCGGCATATCCTCAAGCAAATGGCCAAGCAGAAGCATCAAATAAAATTGTCTTGGACGGATTGAAGAAAAGGTTAGAGAAGGCAAAAGGCAAAAGGCAAGTGGCAAGTGGGCGGACGAACTTCCTCATGTTTTATGGGCTTACAGCACCACACCTCGACGATCAACAGGAGAGACACCATTCTCCTTAGCCTACGGAGTGGAAGCAGTAATCCCACTGGAAGTTGGCCTCCCCACAATTCGAAGCGAAAATTTTGATCCAGACTTGAATGGAGAAGCCATAGCGTTGGAACTCGACCTTGCGGAAGAAAGAAGAGAGAGAGCACTGGTTCACATTGCCTCATACCAACAAGAGTTATCCAGAAAATACAACAAAACGGTGCATCCAAGACAATTCAAGATCGGAGATTGGGTACTACGCAAAGTAATGGGAAACACCTTGATACCAGGAGATAGCAAGTTAGGGCCAAACTGGGAAGGTCCATACAAAGTGGTTGGGTTAGTAGGCAAAGGGGCATACCACCTAGAAGACAAGGACGACAAAGCAATTCCTAGGCCATGGAACACGGCCAATCTCAAGTTATTTTACTTTTAGCTTTTCTCTTTCAAGCATGTGTAATTTTTTCTTTCCTCAATAAAACAAGTGATTCTTTTCAGCATAAGTTGTTCTCTGTAAAAGTTAGCTTTAGTGAAGTTTAGGTACATTGCAAACATTTTATTCTAGGTTAGCAGGAAAAAACTAACTTAGAGGTTGGCTGGATTAAACCAACACCCCTCCTAAGCCCAGGATAAGGATCCAGGCTGCAGGACGTTTGGTCGGAATAACCAAACATTATTCTAAGTTAGCTGGAAAAACTAACTTAGAGGTTGGCTGAACTAAACAAACACCCTTCCTAAGCCCAGGATAAGGATTCAGGCTGCAGGACGTTTGGTCGGAATAACCAAACATTATTCTAAGTTGGCTGGAAAAACTAACTTAGAGGTTGGCTGGAATAAACCAATTCTTTGTACTCTTCAGCCGAAGTAAGGGTATGGCTGAAGAGTGGTTGGCTGGAATAAACCAACTCTCTGTACTCTTCAGCCGAAGTAAGGGTAAGGCTGAAGAGTGGTTGGCTGGATTAAACCAACTCTTTGTACTCTTCAGCCGAAGTAAGGGTATGGCTGAAGAGTGGTTGGCTGGATTAAACCAACTCTTTGTACTCTTCAGCCGAAGTAAGGGTAAGGCTGAAGAGTGGTTGGCTGGAATAAACCAACTCTTTGTACTCTTCAGCCGAAGTAAGGGTATGGTTGAAGAATGGTTGGCTGGAATAAACCAACTCCTGTTACTCTTCAACCGAAGTAAGTGTAAGGCTGAAGAGTGGTTGGCTAGAGTAAACCAACTCTTTGTACTCTTCAGCCGAAGTAAGTGTAAGGCTGGAGAGTGGATTGGCTGGCTTTTAAACTCTTTGTACTCCTCAGCCGAACTAATTATGTCGGCTAAAGAGTGGTTGGCTAGTAAGCATAGTGAGATTGACCAGCCAAAACCGAGATAAAAATTAAAAATAAAAAGATCATGGAAAAATCATAACAAGCACAAACGTACAGATCAACCGATGTAAGAGTTCAAGCAAATTTTCATTCATCAACAGGCAAATACAAAGGAGGGGCCATAGCCCGGTTACAAAAGCAAAAAAGAAAAAGCAAAAAGACAATCAGTTGAAAAGATCATCAATTTTGGCATCAAACGCAACATCGGCATCAACACGAAGACCGGTTTCAGGCGGGAGCTCGCTCTCGGTCACAAGGGTGGTTTCGGTCGGAACCACGGTTTCACCTGGTAGTTCAATAGTCAGGTCTTCCACCGTGGGCTCCAGCCGAACTGACTGGTCCGCATTGACAACCGGAGTATCCTCAGAGGCAGAGTCTTCGTCAGAGTCTGAGCCTTCAAGAAATTGCTGCTGAATGGCATCAGCATACTCCACTAGGGAGTTCGGTATGAAGTAGGCTGGAGGGTTGAAAACCTCGGTCTGTGGATCGTGACCGAGCTTCTCAACAGCTGCCCTCCAACCGTACTTAAAGAATAGTTCCTTGGCGGCTTCGCATTGCTGGATATAAGCATCCTCTGCCTTCTTGAAGCCTCGCTTTTCGGCTCCTTTTGCGCTCTCCTTCAGCTGGGTTATCTCGGTATCTTTCTTCTTTTCAAGCTTCACCAGCTCGCGCAGATACTTATCCTTTAAAGCAATGGCAGCCTTCTGCTTTTCTGCTTCGGCCGAACTAACCAGTCCGGCCAGTCGGCCATTCTCAGCTCGTAGCTCGGCCATTTGTTTTCTGGCCTCCTCTAGCTCGGCCGTCTTCGCTTCGGCTTCTACCACGGCTTGTCTTGTTGTTTTCCTGAGCTCTAACACTTTCCTGTGAGTGATGTTGTTTTTCTGAATGGACTGACAAAACAAAGACTTCCCTTAAGCCAAAGTGAAAGTTGAAAAAACTAGACACAAAAACGGACGGAGCTATTTACCAGGATCATCGATTTTGTCGAAGACCGGATGGCCTTCAGTTCGGTGTTTAGTTGCTTTTGGTGGTGCTCCATATCTTTGGGGAGGCACACACTCTTGGCCAGGTTGAAGGCCAACTGGTGGTCCTTATCAGCAACAACCGAATCAGAGTCTTGGATATCTCGGTTGTTGAAGGTAAGTTTTGGGGCCCAGCTACTGGTAGTTCGGTCAGAAGGCTCCGGTTGGGGGCTCGGTGGCGGGCTCGGTGGAAGAATAGTTTCGTCTTCATCAACCAAGCGTTGTTCAGTTTCGGTAGTCCGGGCACGCTTGGTTCGGTGGGATGAGGACGGTTGTTGCGTAGGAAGCGCCACCACCGCTTCTTGGGTTTGACTTGATGGTGGTACTTCGGCCCTGTTGGTTTCGGTTAGAAGCGCCCTTACTCTGTTCTTTTTGGCCATCTTCTCTTCAACAGTTAGTGGAATTAGTCTGATTTGTGGTAAGGTTGGGTCCGGCTCTGGTGCGTCTTCAAGAAGAAAATCAGTCACCCTGGCTTTTCGGCGACCACTGTATCTGTAGGTCGGCTCGAACTTTAGCAATTTGGCCCAACTACGTTCTGGATACCGTAGTGCGGCGCGCAAAGTAGCTAGGTTTGGGTAGCTGTATAAAGAGTGAAGGTGGGCAGAATCTGCGAAAGAATACAACTGTTAGTTCGGCTGAAAGATTAAAAATCGAAATATAATAAAGCAAGCAAGAAAACCGAAGTGAATTTACCGGGCTCTCCTTTTTTCCAATTTATACGTCGGCCAGGAATCTAGGCTTGATGATCCTCAAAATTCCCAGATACCCAGAAAAAGTCGTCGTCGTTCAAGTCTTTATCCGGTGTATATTTTATTATTTTCTCTCGGCGACGGCGTATTCTTAAATAATAGACCCATCCATCTTCTTTTGAATCAATGGAGTATTGGTGGAAGATTTCGGCCAGGCCAAGGTTTAGTCCGGCTTGGCGGTTCAGTTCGGCTATTCCCATTATGATGCGGTAGGAATTGGTGGATAGTTGGGTTGGGCATAGTCTGGTTTGCCTAAGAAACTCACATATCAAGGGTTGGACTGGAAATCGCAGTCCGGTTTCAATTATGGATAAGAAGGTGAAGGGAACAAAGCCTTCATTATCCCAAGGAATGACATCTTTTTCGGCTAAAGACAGGTGGACGTCATCGGGTATATTGTAGTCTTTTCTTATTATACATATCTCACACACTACATGAGGAACTTTAAACAAATACTAAGCTTAGCAAAATAAAACTAAGGCCTCAACACGGAGGCATTGCTTGGGTGGCTTGACAAAGGGTGGACTCTGAGGCAAACTCTAATGCTAATTCTCTAGTTGCTCACCTACATATACATATAAATAGTGAGCTAAAGCCCAGCAAGTAATAACAGAATAAAGAGGTTAAATGAATGAAGTTCGATAACATTGCCAAACCAAATCTTATTTTAGTTCTCAATAATCAATAATCAATAAACTTCATCATAGATATCACTTAGCATCAATTTGTGTGGTACATCTATGAAGAAATAATATTCCAATAACAATGGACCATAAAGGTCTAACACTAGAGATCTCTGTGTGTCAATCAATCTAAAAGCCATGGTATTGTTTCCCCCAAGCAAGGGCCTAGCCGTGGTATTGTTACCCCCGCGCAAGGGCCTAGCCATAGTATTATCTCCCCCAGGCAAGGGTCTAGCCGTGGTATTGTTAACCCCAGGCAAAGGCCTAGCCATGGTATTGTTTCCCCCAGGCAAGGGCCTAGCCATGGTATTGTTACCCCCAGGCAAGTGCCTATGTTCAATGGATGCCACAATACAATTTCAAAAGTGAACTTCATTCATCAATAGAAAATAACTCTTCATCAAACCATTCAATCATTCATATATCAACTTTGTAAGCAGTACGATTTCGAAAGTAAATATTACTTGAACATATCTTTATTAAATTACTACTCACAGTGGGTCAAGTCATATAAGGGCTCGGACGTCCACCTATACAAATCACATAACAAAAACACAATAAAAGCACCATTCAATATTCAGTTCATTTTAATTTAACTCTCTTTATGTGTTTCTAGCTTATTTCATGACTATATGAGTTCAATTGGTGCCTAAGAATACTTAAAATGTCATGAGGATGCACGTAGGCACTTAAAAGAGTTAGTCAAAAACTACTGAAAACGGGTCTTCGCTCGAGCACACCTTTGGTCGATCGAGCGGTCTGCAAAGCTCTGTAAAAATACTGGATGGCCTCAATGTTCGCTCGAGCGATGACTTTACCACTCAAGTGGTCAGCAAATTTTCAATGCTTTTGAAACCAATAAAATAATTGCCGAACATATTTTCAAAACTTAGACTCTTGCATGAACCAATTTAAACATGTAATTTTATTAATAAAGATGAATAATACAAAAATTTCTTTGATCAAAATAATTTCATGAATATAATAATTTCAACATTTTTCTTCTTTTGTGTTATAAAACATAAAATAGAGCTATAAAGCTCTTTAAAAGAAATATTTCCATATATGAAATTTAAATCAAAATCAAACTAATTTTTGATTCTCAAGTATAAATTGTAATTTATTCCCAAATTTGTCCAATTTAGGTTTAATTCATTTTCTTTTTATCAAACCCACAAATTTTAAAATATGAATTAAACTTTCTAAACTCTTGAAATTTCATGATGTATGTAAAAATAGAACCCAATTTCATTATTAATAACAAAAATCAAACTTATCTAAAGAATTACAAAATCAATTTCTTAGAATTTCGACTTAACTTAATTTTTAACCAAAAACTTAATTTATGATCATAGATGTTCCAAAATGTGTCTAAATTGAATAAAACTTTTAAATTAAATTACATGCATGGATTAAAGATCAAAATCAAACAAATTCCTAATTTTCAAAGCTTTTCCTTTTTCTCTTCAAAATCCAAAATTGAGATTATAAAATTCCTAGAAAAGATATTTACATGTGCATAATTAAAACTACAACTAACTAATTATATATATATATTTCAAAATCAAGACATAATTAAGTTCCTAATTTAATCCTTAATTTGCCCTAATTTAGGTTTGTATCAATTTTCTGCATGTACAATCCAACCTTAAATTATGATCATAGAGCTTCCAAACATGTTTAAATTGAATAAAATAAAAACTCTCAAATTAGATTTACATGCATACATAAGAACCAAAATCAACTAATTCTTAATTTGATCTTCAATTTCAGATTTATGAGTTTAATCCGTATATAGAATATTATAACCTAGAAAAACATTTGTCTACAAAGAATTTGGGGACTAATTGACTTAAACACAATTTCCATGACATTTTCTTGAAACCCATTTTACCCCAAAACCACTTCAACATTCATCTTTAATCATCTCAAAACTCATCTTAAATCAATTTATATCTACATTATTTAAACAATAGTAGGAAGAGGATGAGATTTCTTACCTTAGGATGATTTTTCCACAATTTTTGGCTTGAATTTTGATGTCTCACGAAGCCCTCTTCTTCCTCTCTGTTTCTCTCACTCTTTTTCTTTACTTCTCCAAATGTTTGTTTTGAGCCAAATGAAGTTACACCTCTTCTTGAACTCAACAGCACACACATACACAACTCACCCCTTGTACTCAGCCTTACACGTACACACACACACGTGCGTCAACATATACACACACCCCACAATTTGCTGAATACACCCATGCTCATTTACAACCTTTATTTTAGATTCTTCCATAAATTAATTTATGTTTAGGATTGATTTAATTAAGCCTCACTTAATCTTAATAAATCTTAATTAATACATAATTAAATTAATTATAACTAATCATAAATCTCACATATTTTAACTAGTCTAATTTGATTTCCATTAAGGCTCAATTAATTATATTTAATCTTTATCATTCTGAATTAGATTTTTAATCAAACTCCTCAAAGGCTCCAAATATTAAATTAAACTTATTGTCATCATCAATTTTGATTTCCCAAATCATTTAGGCCTTCAATTTCTGATCAGACTCCAAATTTCCGTGAATAAATTACATATTCAAATTGAACACCCCATAAATAAATTTAATTCATAATAATCACAATTCTCAATCCTCATAATTTAATTAACTTAATTAACTCCAAATCGGACCTAAGTAATCAAATCTCAATTTTACTAAATTGAATCGAATATTTAATTAAACTCTCATATGGTCTGATACTTGAAATTAAACTGAATCAACTCATCAATTTTACCTTCTTAAGCCACTTAAGCTTTTAATTTCTAATTCCAAAATAGCCCTTTTATAAAATTATATACGAATCAACACCAATATTGTCTATCAATTCCGCAATTAAATCAGAATAATAATTAATTAAAATCCAAATCACCTTAATTAATTAAATGTAAAATATTATATGTGGCGGGGTCGTCACAACCTTTGCCCCATCTGCCTCCGCCAGTGCAAGTTGAACCGGACAGCAATGATGTCATCAACCTAACTTAGAGTTCATGAAGATGAAACCGCCAACGTTCTTAGGTGGTATTGAACCATTAAAGGCAGAGACATGGCTACTTGAAATGGAAAAATTATTTGAAGTATTTCCCTTCTCTGAGACTCAAAAGGTTCTTTTGGCCACTTATACCTTAAAAGATGAAGCTCGAAGATGGTGGTTGCTAATTCGAAATTGCAATGAAAGTATGACATGGGTCAAATTCAAAGAGATTTTCTGCGACAAGTACTTCTCTTAGTGCTTTCGGGACCGAAAAGTTTTTGAATTTCAAGAACTCAAGCAAAGCAACATGTCAATAGTCGAGTACGAGGCTAAGTTCACGAAGTTAGCCTGCACCCCACATGGTTGATACAGATTACAAGAAAGCCTGGAAGTTTGAAAGAGGTCTCAATCTGGATATCTTTGATCAGGTAAGAGTGTTGAAGCTGCTCACATATGTGGATGTTCTTGACAGAGCCTTAATGGCTGAAGGCAACCTAGCATCTATGAATAAACTAAGGCTCCAACAACAACGGAATGGAGAGGTAAGAGGTCTGGGTATAGTTTCAGAAAGGGCCGCTCTTTTGTAAACAAAAAGCAAAACACAGGGTCT